TTGGTATCAGAGCCGGGGCCCGGATCGGTGTGCCAGCGAGGGCGCTGGACTCCCTTGAGGGGGGGTGGATATAGTCCCACATCGGTTAGGAAGGCGAACGAAGCATGCCATATATATGGGTGTGGATACCTTCCTTGTGAGGAGGCCTTTTGGGGTGGCATGCGTGTCATCGCCAAGAGCAAAACCGTGCGGCCGTGGGCCAAAGCGGACAATATCCTCATGCGGGTTGCTTGGGCTGTTACACAAACGGCCAACACCAAATACCAGGCCGAGGTGGATCGCCGGGGTCGAACAGCTGATGACCTGGCTCTAAAGGTTCAACGTCTTGAACTTGCTTTGAATAGCGAGACAGAGAAGGTTGTTGTTCTGAGCAAGGAGCTGGAGGCCGAGAGGATTGCTTTCGGGACTTACTAGGAGAAAGCGCGCAACAAGGTCTTAACTCAACATCAGGCTGGCTTTGCTCAGGCCGCCCGACAAGCATGCTTCTTCGGCGACTTCTCCCCTGAATTTCACCTGGACATGACCAAGGACTTCTTCCAGGGGAAGTTGGTGGACCTGACTTCTATCCCTCCTGACCAACAAGCTGATGAGGAGGCCCCGGCACGGCCAGCTAGGCCGAAGGAGGGGGTGACGGCGTACGAGGAGGGTGCGCCGGAGGATGGGCCGGTTCAGGGGGAACCGGAGGTTAGGTCTTAAGGTTTTTTCTTGTTTTTTGTAATGTTAGGCCGATAGTGCCCCCTGTTTTAATGTATCTTCTTAGGCCGATAGCGCATTTATCAATGAATCTGAATCTTGTTTGCTGTCATACCGGTGCACTTGGCCGAAAGAGATCTCGGGAGGGAAAACGTTAAATAATTAAAGCCGCATCCTTGGCCGAGAGAGATCTCGGGAGGGAAAACTTGTTAAATAATTAAAGCCGCATCCTTGGCCGAGAGAGATCTCGGGAGGGAAGACTTGTTAAATAATTAAAGCCGCATCCTTGGCCGAGAGAGATCTCGGGAGGGAAGACTTGTTAAATAATTAAAGCCGCATCCTTGGCCGAGAGAGATCTCGGGAGGGAAGACTTGTTAAATAATTAAAGCCGCATCCTTGGCCGAGAGAGATCTCGGGAGGGAAGACTTGTTAAATAATTAAAGCCGCATCCTTGGCCGAGAGAGATCTCGGGAGGGAAGACTTGTTAAATAATTAAAGCCGCATCCTTGGCCGAGAGAGATCTCGGGAGGGAAGACTTGTTAAATAATTAAAGCCGCATCCTTGGCCGAGAGAGATCTCGGGAGGGAAGACTTGTTAAATAATTAAAGCCGCATCCTTGGCCGAGAGAGATCTCGGGAGGGAAGACTTGTTAAATAATTAAAGCCGCATCCTTGGCCGAGAGAGATCTCGGGAGGGAAGACTTGTTAAATAATTAAAGCCGCATCCTTGGCCGAGAGAGATCTCGGGAGGGAAGACTTGTTAAATAATTAAAGCCGCATCCTTGGCCGAGAGAGATCTCGGGAGGGAAGACTTGTGATTGGAAATAAAATTGCAGGAATTTAAAGTAAGTCATAGATGATTGAACTGTCTTGGTATTGATTGAATGGATGCCTCATTAAAAACCTTGCTGGCCAAAACCTCTTTTCACAATTTTTTAAGAGGACAAAAGACCGGTTCAAGGAAAAGAGTGCATCATTATAGATTTTCAGAGGGACATGAGTTAAATTCTAACTGTAATAGGTCTTCAAATGAGTAGAATTCCATGTCCGAGGGATAATCTTGTCGGACAGTTCCTCTAACTTGTACGCTCCATTGTGTAGGGCGTGCCTTATCCGGAATGGGCCGTCCCAATTGGCTGCGAGCTTTCCCTTAGAAGAGTTGCGCCTCGCCGAACCGGTTGCTCTCCATACGAGATCACCTTCATGGAATGTCCTTGGCTTTAAGTTGGAATTAAAGCGACGTGTCATGCGTTGTTTTGCATGCTTCCGCCACTACCTGTGTCTTCTCTCGTAGTTCATCGAGAACATCGAGTTCGGCCCGGAGTGAGTTGTCATTAGAGTCTTCATGGAAATGCTGTCGTCTAAAGGACGGTTCTCCCACCTCAACCGGGATCATCGCGTCCGCGCCGTACGTTAGGCGAAAAGGCGTCTCTTTGGTGGTTGATTGTGGTGTGCAGCGGTATGCCCAAAGGACTTCCGGTAACTCTTCGGCCCATGCTCCTTTGGCCGAGTCGAGTCTCTTTTTGAGCTCAGCGAGTATAACCTTGTTGGCTGCTTCGGCTTGCCCGTTTGACTGCGGATGCTCGACTGACGTGAACCAATGCCGAATGCCAAGGTTTTCGAGGAAAATGTTGAACTTTTTGTCGGTGAATTGGAGACCATTGTCTGAAACAATGGCGTACGAGATGCCGAAGCGGGTAACCAGATTTTTCCAAACAAACTTCTGAACATTAGCAGCGGAGATGCAGGCCAGCGGTTCAACTTCTATCCATTTTGTAAAGTAATCCACCGCAACGAGAAGGAATTTAACTTGCCCCTTTGCTACAGGGAATGGTCCCAGCACGTCTATACCCCATAAAGCAAACAGCCATGGGGAGCTGATACTGTGCAACTCTGTGGCCGAAGCGTGTATGATGTTTCCATGCTTTTGACATTGTACGCACTTCTTGACGAACTCGGCGCAATCTCCTTTCAAAGTTGGCCAATAGTAGCCGACATGCAAGACTTTGGCTGCGAGAGTTCTTCCACCTGAGTGGGAGCCACAGATACCTTCGTGTATTTCCCTTATTACGTAGTCGGCTTGGTGAGTGTCGATACATTCGAGGAGCGGGGTGGAGAATCCTCACCTATAAAGCTCATTGGAGATCATGGAGTACCGAGCCGCTTGTGTTCGTATCTTTTTTGCCTCCATCGGGTCGGTTGGCAACTCCCCTCGGTCGATAAGGTTCCGAATGGCGGTCATCCAGGTCGGCGCCTCGGTACCAGTTGACATACACTCAACCGTCACACTTGGAAAGGGAATCTCAAGGTGAATGGTTGTTCGCAATTGCCCTGGCTTTCGGCTGCTGGCGAGCCGAGCTAGCTGATCGGCTCGTTCATTATTGCTACGCAAGACGTGCCGTATCTGTATCTCGGTAAAATCGTCCTTGAGTTTTTGGAAAAGGTGATAATATTGCAACAAATTGGAGTCTTTAACCTGAAAATTATCGTTGACCTGCTCGGCCACGATCTTCGAGTCGATCCAGCACATGATTTTCTTGACGCCCATTTCGGTTGCTAGTCTCATTCCGGTTATCAAGGCTTCGTACTCTACCTGATTGTTGGATGCACGGAAGCCGAACCGAAGGGATTGTTCGACTGTGATCCCTGAGGGGCTGGCAAGGATTATACCGGTGCCACTGCCTTGGGTATCAGAGGATCCATCGACGTGCATGGTCCATGGCGCGTCTTCAAAACGACCCAGAGGAGTGAGCGCATTGACAAAGTCGGCTAAATGTTGTGACTTAATGGGGCCTCTCGGCTCAAAAGTTATGTCGAACTCTAAAAGCTCAACCGACCATGCCATCATCCGGCCGACAATCTCTGGTTTTCTTAGGACCCTCGCATTTGGACAATCAGTTCGGACAACTATTTTGTGACTTTGGAAGTACTGCCTGAGCCGGCGAGCGGTATAGATGAGCCCTAAGGCTACTTTTTCTATCAACTGGTAGCGTCGTTCGACATCCTGTAGTGTCCGACTGATGAAATATACCAGTTGTTGTTCGTCTTGCTTCTCTTGAATTATGACGACACTGATTGAAGTGCCGGAAACAGCTAAGTACACGATCATGTCAAGATTGGCAACCGGTTTGGAAAGGATTGGAGGTGTACCCAGACGCTCCTTAAATTTTTGGAATGATATTTCACACTCCGTAGCACATTTGACCCGCTCCGCTTTCTTAAAAAACAGGAGGATAGGCTTAGCTATCTCAGCTAGGCAAGGAAGAAACCGAGAGAGTGAAGTGAGCTGGTCGGCCAACTTCTGAACCTCTTTCAGGTTGCCTGGACTTTTCATATCCAGAATAGCTTGACACTTGTCAGGATTTGCCTCAATGCCTCGGTTGGACAGCATGAATCCCAAAAATTTGCCGCCTGAGACCCCGAACACACACTTCTCGAGGTTGAGCCTCATTTGGTGGTGCCGAAGCGCCTGGAACACCTCGGTCAAGTCTTGTGCATGTGCCGATACGTCACCTGACTTCACCACCATGTCATCAACGTACACCTCCATACTTCGGCCAATATGGTCACTGAAAATTTTGTTCATCAGTCGTTGATAGGTGGCTCCGGCGTTTTTCAATCCGAAGGGCATCACCCGGTAGCAGTAATTGGCCGTTTCGGTGATGAACGCGATTTTCTCTTCATCCTGAAGGTGCATACGGATTTGATTGTATCCGGAGTACGCATCCAAGAACGACAAGAATTTGTGACCAAATGCCCCATCAACAAGCCGATCAATATTTGGTAGGGGGTAGGCGTCCTTTGGGCAAGCTTTGTTTAAGTTGGTATAGTCAGTACACATGCGCCACTTCCCATTCGACTTCTTGACCATGACTACATTGGCCAGCCAGGTTGTATAATGCACCTCTCGGATGAATCGAGCATATAACAGCTTGCCGACCTCGGCCTCGATTGCTGCCTTCCTTTCTTCTCCGGCTTTCCGACGCCGTTGAGCGATCGGCCTCGCTTCTTTGCTTATTGATAACTTATGACAGAGGAAATTAGGATCGATGCCGGGCATGTCGGACGGGTGCCAAGCAAACAAATCGTTGTTCTCGAGGATCACTTGGCTGATAATCAATCGTTCTTGTGAGGCCAGATTAGCACCTAGGTAAGTGACTTGGCCTTTGGATACTCCTACCTGGATTGGTTGTTTGTCTTCGATGGATTCGACCCTCTCATCTTGATCAATCCGGGGATCGAGGTCTATGGCTGATTGCTGTGATACCGAGTGCACCCCTCTCGATTCATTCGGTGTTTCGTTCTTCATTTTTGGCAATCGCAAGCTGGTAAAATAACATTCTCGCGCGGTTTTTTGATCAGCGTGGACAGTGACTATTCGTCCTGATTCGGCTGGGAACTTCATGGCTAAATGAGGGGTGGATACGATTGTGCCGAGCCGATTCACGGATGGCCGACCGAGCAGAATGTTATAAGATGTGCTGGCGTGCACCACCACATACTTTACCGAAATGTCTCGGTACTCAGTTCCTTCAAACCCGAACCAGGTTGACAACTTGATATACCCTTTTGTCTTGACTCGTTCACCGGAGAACCCGACCAAAGGTTCATCATAAGGAACTAGCTCACACTCCGGAATACCCAACTGTTTGAACATGTTCCAACAAAGAATGTCGGCTGAACTTCCCTGATCAACCAACGTATTTCGTACAATGCAGTTATGAATTTCGACGTTGATTACCATCGGATCATCCTGGTCCGGGTCGATGCCTTTGAAGTCGTCCTCGGTGAAAGTGATGGTGGGAAGGCGACGACGAACTGTCTCCACTGCATGCACGTGCCGAACAGCTCGTAAGTGTCTGTGTTGGGCTGATGAGGATGAGCCTCCGCCAGCGAAGCCTCCTGCTATCGTGTTGATGACTCGCCAAGGCTGTGCCGAAGGCTCTTCCTCTCTTCGATCTCTTGACCGACTGCGTTCTCTGTACGAGCGTGCTTCTGTCCTTCTTTGTTCGGGCTGATCATGCCGTCGCGACCGGTCGGCGTATTTCGAAGAGTTTGGTCGGTCCACGAAGCCTTGCAACTGTCCTTGCTTGATCAAGTCTTCAATCTTATCTTTCAGGGCCGAACATTCGTCAGTTGAATGTCCGCGATTGCGGTGATACCTGCAAGATTTGGTCGTATCGGCCCGGGGAGGGGTCGACGCTCGTTTTGGGACGGCTAGTACTTCCGAAGCGAGTGCTTGTTCTAGTATTGCCGACCTGCTGGTGTTGAGTGGTGTATACTGGGAATACTTCGGGCCACGAGGGGGCCTCTTGCGGGGTACCAGTTCTTTCGGACGGCTTCGAAAATTGTTTTCAGCCAGCTTTTCAGGCTTTGCCGACACCTCCGCTCGGGCCTGGTTACGGAACTCAGCTAATTCTTCCATCTGCATGTATTTGTCGGCTCGTCGACGCAAGTCATCCATGTCGGTAGGGGGTTTCTTACAAATGTTGTTGGCAAAAGGCCTCGGTTTCAAGGCGGTGGTAAGGTGGTGCAGAGCCACTGCAGGGTTCAAGTCTCAGATTTCAAGCGCCGCTTTGTTGAATCGGCTCATGAACGCTCGAAGGGACTCCATTTTCTCCTGACGGATGTTGACCAGCGCCAAAGAGGTCAACTAGTGAGGTCGACTTGTAGCGAATTGGATGGTGAACTGGGAAGCTAACGTGCTGAACGAGTCAATCGAGTTAGCTGGAAGCCGAGTAAACCAACTCAGTACTCGCCCTTTTAACGATGTTGGGAAGATTCGGCACAAGGCGGCATCATCGGTTGTGCTCAGAGTAACTTGAGTTAAGAACACGTCTACGTGTTCATCGGGGTCGGTGGTGCCATCGTACTTGTCAAGGGGCAAGGACTTCCAATGGTCAAGAAGTGCAGATTGCATAATATTTGGCATAAATGGATGTCGGTGGGCGCTAGCCGGCATTGGCATGGCCGTGCGAGTGGAACGATCCCTGAGTGTGGGTCGTCTCAGATGGTTTCCATGTGGGGTCTCGGTACTGGTTTTTCATAGCAGCATTCTCTTCTCTCAATGCGGCCATCTCGGCGGCATCTCTCTCTCGCTGCTGTTTCATGGCGATCATTTCTTCCTTCATCTGGCGTACCATATCGGTCAAGTTTGTCTCCTCAACCGTCTCGGCCTCGGACTGGTGCTCCTCTTCGGACTGTTGCCCTTCAAAATTAGTATTCCTTGTCTTTACCATGATTCTTTTCCTCGTAAACTTTCGATGTTTCTGCAATGCTTTCGGTTCGGCCCCACGGTGGGCGCCAAAATGTACCTGCTTGAGGGTACACTCGTAGTCTTCTTAGTGAGAAGGGCCAAACGGATGCTTCAAGCGGTCTCTTCAGAGGGGGGAGGTACCTGCCAAAGGCACTCCGACACTCAAGTTAGGACAAGCATGATATTCTAGGGTAATTAATGAACAGTGACGTACCTCGTTACGTGTGACCTATTTATAATACCTGACGTGGGCCTGAACGTGGTGGACCTATTCTAATCTTTACCAAATTAGGTAATACGATGCTAATCAGCTAATCATGTCTTAATTATGCATTTGTCCTTGTTAATTGTGATTTGTACTATAACCCGTTAACCTATCGGGACATTGCCGAGCCGACAGACTAATGTTTGGGAGGTTGCACGTCTTCGGCTGTTGACCGAGCCGATACGTAGTATGTGGGGATGCATCATGCTGTTTGCATCGGCCTTAAGCCGAGCCGACATGTGCCAGTTGACTAATCTCGGCCTTCAGCTATAAGCCGAGCCGATGCTAACGTCAGCCTTGGGTATTGTCCAATTCGCATGGGTGTCCGACGGAACGACACGTGTTGGTCAACGTGACCGACAAGATCCTCCCGGTACATAACTAATTTTTTTATAACATTATTTCTTTTGTGTTTAAAACAAGATTAAAAAATTAAAAATTTTCAAATATATAGATTAAATTACAGGGTCTAAAATTTTATTTTAAATTATAGATATTAAAAGTTAAAGTAAATAAAATTATAAAAATTTAAAAAGTGTTTTAACTTTAAAAAGATAACTCATTAAATTTTTAATATTATAAACTTATTATAATATTATATATATTATATAAATTTATTATAACTTTTTATTAATTTAAAGTTTAATATTATAAAATTATTATATTATTTTTTAAATATTATTTTATGGACTACCTTATTATTATATTTATTTTTACACTAAACTCATGTTTTGACTAGCAATTATTTTAATTTATAATTTATTTTATATGAATTTTTTATTGACCTAATACTATTTAATATTAATTAATTAATGTGTTTTAATGTTTGTTAACTAGTCTTAATACTTAATAAGTTATTTGTCTAAAAAGTATTAAATTCAATCTTTTTAAGTAAAATTTAAAATTTAAATATTATATATATATAAAATAAATATGGTTAGGAGGAAATTTCACTAAATGTGACTCTCAACATAAAGATTAGTTATCAATTAGTTGATAAATATTTGGTATCACAAAAAATTGTAAAGTAAAGAAAGAAAGAAACAAACTTTCTCGAGATCAAGTAAAAAAAAAATCTATATGACACTAAGCTTGAATATGTAATTTTTTAAATAGCTCAAATTTATTTAAAAAAAAACTAAAAAAGAAAATTGAAAAGTGGAAGAAAATGCACGGCATCGATATTTGACACTTGGATAATTTCACCAAGTGTGAGTTGTGTTTTATAATAAATAATAGATGAATTGACTTTTCATTATCTTTCAAAGAGATTTATCTTTTTCTTGATTCTTATTAGCAATATTTTGTAAAAAAAAAGTAAATGATTAAATTACTCTTTAAAATTATGTGATTACCAATTTAGATTTTGATTTTAACAAAATTTTAAAAAAGTTTTTGAAAGTGAATATATTATTTATTTAAGTCTTTCCATAAATAAATTTATTTATTTTAAATAAAAGTGTCTACATGACACAATAGTAGCATCTAATATATATGTGATACATATGTGGAATGACATGTGTCACCTGAATGTACCACGTGACATATATGTTTCATGTGGATATGATTATAAAATATAATTATTTTAATTCTTGAAATTGTAATTTAATATTATTTTATTTTATAAAATTTTAACTTGATATTATTTTAGTATCCAAATATTATCATAATTTTATTTTAATAAAAAATTATGACTAAAAATTTTCACAATAAAATAAATAATTAAATTAATATTATAAATATGATGATAATTAAATTTAAATCATATTAAAAATTTGATATTTAATATTGTATCAACTTATATACATAAAATACAAACAATTATATTATGCAAGATCACTTTTAAGAAATTTTCTTTAACGAGAGAATTTTTAGATTTTTTTTAATTTTATATCTAATTCGAATTAAATATCAATACTTTTAGAATAAATTATCATTAAATAAAAATAATATTATTCTATAATATAAATTATTTATCACAAATTTAAAATATAATTTATATATCTATATATAATTATTTATTCAAATTTTATATATAATTTATAT